ATCACCAGAAATATGCGCAGTGACGAATAGGTAGGAAAAAGGCCGACTGTCACCACACCTGGCCCAAAGTAGAAGGGTTTTCCTGGGAATGGCATAACATGTTTGGTGACGGCAAAGCATCTTCGGGATGTAATTTGCACAGTAAAAATTATCGTTTTTATGGGCTTTTAGCGCAAGTGGATGAATTCAGCTTAGCATGTAGATATTTAGTAGATATTGTTAACTCTGATTCGTTCAGTTAAGCAGAACACGCCAATTTCCGCAGTGATAAACAATGCTGGACTTGGGGCGGTTTCATTATGATGGCCTGTTAAGGGATATCAAGTTGTTGGAGACATAGGTGCTTCTATTCGCAAGTCGACCCAATATTTCACAAGATATATTTCCGGACAAAAGAGGCATAAATTACTTCATAACTTTATCGATAACTCTCTCGATGGGACGAACCATGAAATGTACAGTGCTATTAGGTTTAGTTAGTTTCTTTTCCTCTAAGTGAGTACAGAGATAGCCCCTCAGGTACTTTGAGGACGCGCATTTCTGCTACGGTTCATCTCCGCTTTATTGCGTTACTATCGTCGCTGTTGTCTTTGTCGAAGGCAGTAACTTATGGCTCGGTTTCCTAGATGCAGTAGCACGCACGTAAAGGACACTCACACATTTCACATGTCTTTCTCAGCAGCTCAAATCCAGCAGCATCATAAGGTAGCTAATGAGTTAGTGTTCTTTTGAATATACATTTTACCACGTTCTATTTTTACTTCGATGCGGACGAACTAAACATGCACATCTATCTGTAAACACAATGTTTACCAGATCCATTGAGCCTGTGTTCAAGGCATCCAGTCGCATAAGGAAGGTACTGCACTCCCCATACACTCAAAATTCAAGAAAATTCTCAGAATCTGGATGAACTAACGTGCATCACCTATGCCCACAGCTATCAGCAGAGTGTGGTCTAATAAGCACCGTCATTCGGTCAGTTTGAAAATACAGGCTGTTAAATGTATCTCAGATTTTATCATTATTATACTTGCCACAGCTGGGCCTTTCACGTATCCGTTTTAAAAGTGAGTTCAGGAATTTGGAACAGTACTGATAAAGCTGGCATCCTTCCTTTGGCAAACATTCAGATTTGGAGAAGGGGAGTTTCTTGATAAACCTAACATGATACCTTCCTATTATTGTGATGTTTTTGCGACTATTTACAAGAAGACACTGAGCTTCGAATGAGTGTAATGATCGGGCAATATGCAACAACTAAATTCCGCATAAATCTGTATCTAAAATTAGTTTGGTTAGAAACAGCGTTAGAAGCCTTTCAAGGATTTTCGCGTTTCAAATAAAATAGTAGTTCTTCTGTTGCAAGTGAGTGTGCTGGATGGAGTTGATTGTCGGAACAATCCGAAAAGTAACTTTCTGATGGGCTAAACAAACTGTTACACACTCTCGGTTTAACCAACCTTGTTACTACCATCAGGGTCAGCAAAAATTTCAAGCCTCTACTGGAATACTTTGCCAGATAACATGACACCAGACAAGTGTTTATGAAACGTGGCCATGGCACGTCAGTATGCTTTTTGACACATGGATGAAAATCACATTATTGGAAATGTGAGCGGTAATACCCAAAAAATAAAGTCTGGTAACTTCATAGCAACAGGATGCCTTGGCGAAAAATTAGGAAGCGAATGTTGAGCCCTAATGTAAGAAACTTCATATCCGTTTAGGTAATCCTTTTCCCCATACGTGTAACCCACGGCAACTTCAACAGTAGCACAAAAACTTTGTATTTGTTCGATAGAAATCTGACAACAGCCCGATGTAAAATTGATGTGCCCAAATTGACGTTTAAAACTGAGCGTGCGACTTACCATGATATCAAGTGGTCTTATGTATTTTTTCGAGACAGTAACATTACTATTACGTCATTCCTTGCCTAATTTGTGTTAAAAAAATTTACCAGGAAATATTCGGCCAGTTTACGCACTTTTATTAACCACACTTGGTATTCCGGTACTCCGTGAGAAGATTTTTGATTTTGAGCTGGTGAGTGCAGGAGGCAATTCACTACTTATATATGGCTTAAGCTAGATCTGCCTGAGTAGAAAGAGAATATCTTCCATAATGGACACTGTTCGCGAGCAAAGTCCACTTGAAGTTCACATAGTAAACTTGGCGTCAGATCTTGGGACAGCGGATGATGCGGTAAAATGACCTGATTTTGCGTGCCATCTGAGTACCAGAATCAGGCTTTTTGAAATATGATGAGCAGGGGGAGGCAACAAATCGCAGAGCGTCACTATACAAGACGACCTTTCAGCCGGAATGGAACTTGAATATGTCATGTTTGTTCATAGCAGTGTGAGGATATTTGGTAATGCGGAAAATCAAATAAGCACTCTACAGGTGCCTCATTTTACTCGGAATAATCAGCAGTGCACACCTTACGAAACTCAAGGAGGTTTCCAACCTGCGAGTTCCAGGATAGTTTGGAATAAAATGTATGTTAAATAAGGCATATTCAGAATGAAATTGCTAATATGCATTTTATTCGGGTGATAAAATCAAGCATATAAAATAACTTTAGGAATCAACTATCAATCGCCTCAGTAGACGACTAAACTTAAATGTTTATTTTTGTTGCCCTCTTCCAAAATAGGCCCCAAATCTTCCCTGTCGTACATTTGTTCGTGACTTTGTGAATACTGGAAGTTTGAGCTTCAGGACATCAGTTGTTCTAGTGAACATGTGCAGAAATTCTCAACAGCAGCTTCATCCTCTGAAAGGTTGCTGACTATTGTGACTCCAGATAATTTGAGTGACATCAGAATTCATTCCCCACTGAGAGCAAAACACTGGTGAATGACTGTAAGAAATGTGCTCAACTGGACTACTAACCATTCATCTTACCAGTTCACCAGCCTACTTTCCATTGCTTTCGCACGTCACGCAGAAGGAACTCCGTTCATATGAACGGGTTTTCTTATTTTGGATACGTAAACGAGTACGTAAACTAAACTAAATGGAGCTGCACTACCACCATTTTCAACTAAGTCACGTCCTTATTCGATCAATAAATTTTCAAAAACTCTTGATGGTCTAAATACTTTAGAGGACGATTCTCGATGCCAGCCGCCGCTATTCATTTATATCTTGCAACTAAAACAGAACCCAAGACGTTGGACATGGTACCCATTCGGCCCCAGTAGTTTATGACTGCATATTTTTTCTCAACCGTCTCCTCGTCCGAATGACCTTTGACCCGCACTAACCAAAGACGGGAGTTAAATTCTTATCCAGAGCTTGCCAGATCTGTTTGCTTGCATTTTGGAAAAGTGGATTGTCCCAGAAAACTAGAAAGAAACGGTAATTATCCCCATTTTCAAAAAGGGTCCTTTGGTAAATGTGGTACTCACGGGTTGATCAATTAACTTCAGGTATAAACTCATGGCGCATTTTCACTTCGCCTCTAAGTGGTGGATCGTGAAAGACTGACTTGAGGAACGTAAGCAAGAATTCGGCTTGGTATGGTTTGCGTCGACTAAATTTTTACACTGCTAATGTTCTTTGACTTACAAGGCGCATTTGAATCAGTCTCTTATTCTTAACACATCTTCTCAGTAAGTAATGTCACGCAAGCATGTGAATATAATAAGTTCTTTTGCTCTCAGAATTTCTGGTGTGTGATTGTGCACGACAGTTCTGTGAGAACCTCCGTCCGGGCAGCATAACTGCTCTATTTCTTTCTAATTCCGTGATTGATGAGATAATGTGACGAACGCATGAGAGTTTTTAAGAAACCCTGTGGTTCGGATAGCTGAAAAAACCTAATGGTTCTTAGTCTCGCTTTACCAGTCCAAATATAGGCGACAGTGCAGAGCGCAAAATAAGTGATTCATGATTCAGGTAGGAAACCGATGATTATAAAAGACGTTATAGAGAAGAATTGTGGTATAGCTTGGAGTGTAACTCAAGAATTTTGTGGAAGAATGCGATCGCCAGTAGATGAAATTATGTCGGATAGCGGTAGCAGTATATCGAGAGTACAGTCCGAATTGCTACAAGGACATTATCTTGTTTTATGCGCTTCAAGATGAATTGCTAGACACATTTCTCCCTCATTTTGTCAAACCCATAATACATACTTTTGACCTCCCAGAAAGAAGATACCACTCAAATGTATACGAGGGAAACAGGTTATTTCTATTTGACCACCACCTACTCGAAGCACCTACATTATCCCGTCCAAGTGGTCGATCAGTTCACACATGATTTTAGTACCTACGAAAAAGTTACAATTTGAGCAGAATTTTTTTGTCATTCTTCCTTAAAATATACATTTTTCTGAATGATATGTGACTTAAACTTTGGGTGGTTTCCGAAACAAATGCTGCTCCCTGGATGTGCTGCAATAATCCCGCAGACTTCAGGGACTGGAATATCTTCCACTATGTGCAACCGCTGTCTTGTGGTGGGATACCTAATTTGGAGGGGGTATCTCAAACAAAAACCGTTTCCTCAAAATGGGTAGCATAGGGTTTCCACTAGCCTTTACATTTCCTCTTCCACTAGCCCTCATCCGCTTCCAGCACATGAACTGCGGTTGTGTACTAAGCGGTTGTGGTCATTACATTTCTAACAACCGTATCGATAAAATTAGGCAGACGGTCTTTTCTCTACAAACAGAACATGAAATTTTTCCTAACAAAGATCAGGTAAAACATTTTGGCCGAAAAGTATCAGGAATCATGTCAGGAAAAGCACATCTCTCACTATAGGTCAAGAATCAAGATATGCATCATTCGCCTAGTTTCATTCTGTAAGATTAGTGACGTCATTCTGAATCATTCTGAAACAAATCGAACGGTATCCAACGGGTGACCCTACGCTTTGTAAAATCCAGTTTAGATGGCTTATGTGTAGGCAGTGTATACAGACGTCGTGTGATCGCCCATTAATTTTCATCCCAAAATGTTGTACAAGTCAATAACAGAGTTTCGGTACAGTGTATTTAGGGTGACATGTGCAAAGTTTTCACAAATCATTTTTTCTTAAGTCGAGCGCGTGCTTAGCCGAATCGCAAACTTGAGATTGGCAGTAGATCATCGTCTTCCACTGGTGAGTTCAGCGCCTCCAAGAGTTTTCTGAAGTTTATTGCCGAGCGACGTTTTTCCTCTGAAATAGAAGGAACCCAAGTGACTTTTGCAATAATCTGCTGAGAACCATCTTGATACAAAGTTGGGAGGATATTTCTTGTCATTCATGCTTTAAGTCATATTTACAGTCCAAGTTGCCTGAAGGAAATTCGGAAAATCTAACGGAACGATGTGATTAGTGAAACTGCTCCAAACTATACTTCAAACAGAATGAATTCAGTCAACACCAATGCTCACGTAATGTGTAAAAAGGAGTAATAGGCCACTTATGAAGGCCACTTATAAAAGTTCAAATGCTGTGTTTGTCCAGCAATGTGCAAAGGAATAGAATATTGTTTGAATGGATCATATTCTTGTTTTATATTTCACTATCCACAAAATTCATACGGTCATCAGACTTGTTTGAAGAGAAAATTGGAACGCACATTTGCATTACATAACGCCAATACAGTCATCCACACCCCTTCGGTGAATTTTTTTGCTGAACAATACATGAGAAAACCACAAAGTCATGATTCTCATCACCAAAACAAGACCGTGACAAATGTGACGGTCAGCATCACCTCCAAATGACACACTTAACAAGTCAGAATAACGGTACCATTCAACAATGCAGTCTTTTGTCGACGCTTGAGTTACAAAATTGGATGCCTCATAGATGTACCGGCGGAACATTATCACGCTACGTTTGCTTAAATCATGTCTTCGAGACGAGAAAAACGAATGTTCTAAATTTTAGCTTTATAATGATCCTTGGTGCTATTTATCAATGCGAAGCTGGCCACTTTATAACGATGCAGTTATTCATTTCTACTCCAGCCCACACACCTTGTTTTTTTCAAAACGGTGATGGATTCATATTAACTGCCACTGAATATCATCAGCGGATTTGTTTAAGTTGACCCAATAAAGTTGACTTTGATTGGCATATTAACATGGGCTCTAGATGACGGTATGGCACTTTACATTGTGATTTATCCTAAATCCATTTCATAGCAGAATAAAGATTGACCTTGGTCAGTGGAAACCAACAACGCAAGAGTTTTTCTTATTAGTCGTACCATCAATTTGTTGAACTTCAGCCTAGCTGGATATCGGACTGAGATGTGTATGCAAGTTGTTAGTGGAAAGATACTGGTAGCCTTCCGTATTCATGTCCCGCAGAATAGAACGAAAGATATTAGAATACAGCTCTGGAGCTAAGGAGAGGTAAGAGAAGCGAAACAACGTGAAGAGATGTTGGGAAATTCCCCTTTCTTGTAAAATTGCAATCACTTTTATGGCAAACAGAAAACAGGCTTCAATATGGAGTATAGGAGTCACCAAACTTTAAAGAATTAGCTGGGGGCATGTTTAACCGCATTCAAAGCTCACGAGTTAAAGTTTGATGGAAACAGACACTTCTACAGTTCAGCTACTAGGGCAGATTTCAGACTTTGCATTTGGACAAAACCCGAGCATTTTTCTCCAATCTGAGATCTTGGTCGCCATACTGCAGCAAAATATGTGCGTAGAGTAAGTTATGAACCGATCGGATGATTCAAGCATCATTACTTTTTCACCCAACAAGTCTTGACCGGTTCAGTCCAATAATTTCGAGGGTGGTGACAAAATTTTCAGATGACATGTTTTCACCCTCGATATTTTCTACATCTCTATTGGTCGTGTACCATCATGTTGAAAAGCTCTGTCAGCGTGGGACGCCTACTAATCAACAAAACAGTTTTGTCTAACAATCGTTCACCTGAGGATATAAATGCAAGCTTGCAAGAATTGTGGGACACCGGTATGACACATAGAGACTGAATGAAGTATTCTGGCGCTGAGACTAGGTAGGATGCCAGTCAATCTTAGGGCTGCGTTTCTCAGTCAACACATCTTACAAAACATGGACCTGGTAGCATATGTGCACATAAGGCCTTTTGGCTACAGTAAATATGTATATATTATCTGCAATATATTATGCCGGTTTGAAGTGGTGTTCGTGAGAGTCGTCGACATGGAAATCGATAGAATCGAATTTTGCTTCATTTTCCCAGAGACTACACCTAACCCATGCTCCAGTTTATCCGCTGACATGGGACCGCTGCTGATTACGGGATGCCAGATCAAGGGTAACCACACGTGGACTGTCATACTATTTGTACCGGTGGCTAAAATACTCGCGACTACCGTATAATAGCATCCAACATGATCAGGATGACAGGAGTTCACAGAACTCTTGGACAAAACACTATGTTGCATTATTAACGACAGATTCTGCTCAGTTTCAAGCATTATGCTAATTCCCAAACGAATCAAGTTTCTAGTACACGTAGCTAACAAGTTTACAAGTTTGCACCTATGTTGAAGACCGAAGCGTTGCTGAGAAACAATTTAAAAGTGTGTGTACTATGATGTGAAATTGGGATCAAAGGTATACCAATGGTTCACTGGCAAAAGTGAATAAGTACACGACGTCTACTGTGGCAACTTTTAAAGTTTTGCGTTGCAAATGGTTATCCTGAAGACCGAAATGAAAATTCCTGTCAACCGGGCTCAAAACGTACCATGCCATGTTTTGTACGAAGGGTTCATCCTATAACTGCTCATCCTATAACTGTTCATACCTCAAGTCAATCTAAAAGTATTTGACATTTTCATGATAAATTTTTCAAAATAATCTCATACCCTCCTCATGAGAAAGATTTAAAGTCAAAATCAAAATGGGGAAAAGCTTGGGATTGGGTGTAGTTGATCCCACTAGTGGAGATTTTATGAGTAGGGGATATTTCACGACGTCGTCGTTACGTATATTAAACACTTAAAAAATAAGTATTCCGTTTTCAGGTCACCCAGTAAAGGGAACAAACTACGGAAGATGGATTTCAGGTGCTCCCCTGGTGCGACAAACTATTAATCTTACTTTAGCGACTACTCAAGCAAAAACCTCGTTTGATTGTCCCATCGAAGTGCTTTCCTTAGGCTGAGACATTTATGCAATCAATTATATGGTTTTCTACCGAAATATGTACAACACGCTGCCAGCAATCCGCGATCTCTTTCACGGCGACAATTTGTTTCACTGTCAATAAACTCCAAACATTTTAAGCTCTGATTAAAGCGCTAGCACAATTATCATGAATGATATTTCCTAAACATATTATCAGGCGTTAGTATCAGTTACGTAGAATGATCTGTTTTGTTCCTTGGACAACGCATTGTTCATCAGTATAATTGAACTCACCCAGATACGCGGCTGGACGCCTGGTTTCCCATGGAAATGGGTGATGATAACTGATACTCGGGAAACCATCTTTCACAAGAGATCGCGATTCAACTGATGGGGTAACAAACAGACCAAGAAGAGTCAAAAGTACGCCGAAGCTCAAGAAAGGCCATTGCTTAAAAATTTTGGCCATGCAGTTCGTTTTCTCGCCCATCTGGTTTTATGTTATGGGTCTTCCGTATACCGGCAGCGCGACTTATATGCTGAGCTGTACTCAGTTGCTGAAATTTGATTGGACAACATCAGAAAAAACATCATTTTTGTTCGCACTCCTTGCAATTTCAGTATACCTTATTTAATTATGTAAAGTAGATTAAACGGGGTAAAATTATACATGGTGCTTCACCACTTTGTTTGCTATTGTCGAATTTCGTCTGTTTATGCACTTATGCGGATATTGTAGCCAACAATCCTACGTTGTTTAAGAAGCTGCTGAAGAACATCATAAACGAGAGATTCAGCTGGGTTCCAGGTGAGTCTCTCGTCAAAACCAACTTGATATGCAAATAAGTGTATGTTTCGAAAGCTGACGTCAATTTTTGTCAAAATTGAAGCTTAGATTGACGACTAAGAATAGGTAGTAACTTCCATGCATAGTTCGCTCTTTACATAGGGAGGAAATTTCTAGAGTCAAAAATGAAACCAAACGATGTCTTTTGGAGGATTAAATATGCAAATTATTTTCAATAAATTCCTCCAAAATGACTAATTCTCAACTTAATTTTGTATGCAGCTAGCCAAAGCGATTGTGCGGACGCGTTGCTGTTACCACAAATTTACGTTAATGGAAGAGAACCAGCTGTAATATTGAATATTTGCTTGTGAAACAAGAAGTTTCATCATCCAGTGAGCAGGCATGACGCTCCAGATGGAGATATGAAATAGTAACTGAAAGAAACTGCATCCCTTTTGTACTTAAATTAGACTTTCCTATTGAATCGTGAGCATACTTCCGAGGTGAATATGGCAGTTTGACCACAATGCTTGCGTTACACGACTGCGCAAATGCGGTTAGCAGGCAACCACAGGTGGATCTACAAAGCTGACCCACAGAAGCTTCAAGTAGAACCTAATCGTGGAGTCTACATAACTGGCTGCCTGCTGAGAGGTTATAAGTTTAGAAAGTGGGCTGGATTGAAAGAGGCAGCAAGGACGTTTCTGAGAGCCCCTAAATTTTATCTGACCACATCATGTATTGCCTGGATGGGGATTCACAATAACGCATGCCAGAGACGTACCACCATCTTTCAAGAAACAATTATTTTTAAAGGCAAAATCATGCTCAATGTTGAGGATTGTATGAGAGGCAACGTTGAGTCGAAAAAGGCATGCAACAGACTTTGAAGTAGACGAGGTAGCTCATACAGAATCCAACTATGATAGCGTGTACGAAATGGAGAAGCATAAAATCTGTAAGCATGAGCGAACCTTCCTGAATTTTCCCACTAGTAAAATCTTCAATTCGTACCATTCTTCTCAACTATTCGCAAGCCAATAACAAAATCTCTCAAGTTGCATCCTACGGATGATCACGAAATTCGCGTATAAAAAGAGGCGATCATATCTTAGCCATGCGAGACAATAAGCCACTAAGAGTGGGAATTCTGCACTCAGTCGAAGAAACGCATCCTTCAGGAGCTTATCGGTGATTTTTTTCATGACCGCAAGAACAATTTTACTAGGTTGATATTTAGTGCATATCCGAAACCCAATGGCAGTCATTCCACATTTGCATAGATTACGGTTAATTAACCCCATACCTGGTTTACCTCATAATATCAATACACCAACCAGTGTCACCGCTACAAAATTCCCGTTTGCGCATCACATACACCAGACACTTTCATCTGCTGTCTCCAATTGAGGAGATTGAATGTGTTTCCGATAAACCCGAAGTAGATGATGACTAAACATCACGTGGTATCAACTACACCGCCACAAAATAGCATCTGGGTATGGAAATATCTTGGTAGGGGATAATCTTTAGAGAAAATTGAGCGACGAAGCATCAATGAGGCATTTCACCCCTTTGAACGTATTCGCTATCAGAAACATGAAAGCCGTAATCCACAACCCCAAAGGGACTACTGTCCGAAACAATCGGCCACAATTAACAAATGACTGCGAAAAGAAAGGGTGACGCCTAATGAGTGGGTAAGTTCCGCGCACCTCCATTATACCTCGTGTTTGGGACCACAGGACAAATTAGTACTACCAACTAGACATGTCTGAGGCTAAACTTCGGCGACGTTCCTCAGGAGGAATCAAGATGAGCATGATGTTCTAGTGATTCCGCCAATCAACCACAGATTTACAACACAATATGTTTCAAATATAATAAACGATTATTACTTCTGTTACTGGTTCGAATCGGGACGACTTTCTATTATTTTACGAGCAGTAAGATCACAAAATACTGAGTGTTTAGCACTGGAGCAAAACTTGCGAATATAGATTAAGCTAAAACCTTCTGACCATGTTATGGGATTTGTCCAGTAACTGCCTACTCAGCATTTAAATTCATTCCTATGGGACACCTGTGAAGAAATCAACAATCTTAATGCACATGCGAGATGTTTTAAAATTACAATATCATCTGGTGATTCGGAGTAACGGTGGCGCTGTAGATTACAATGAAGAATCACCTTCAATATAGAAAAGGTAATAATTCGAGACCGCTGGTCAATACTATCAAAGGACAACGATTTCCTAATAATTCGAAATACGATGTACCTTCTGTGGATTGCTTGTAAACAAACTGCTGTGTGGAATTCCACACGCACGAACCGGTTCTACAGTATCTTAGAGCCCAAGTAACATTCAGATTCACCTTGATAAAAGAGAATTTTCAAGTGGCGAGGAGATGGGACGAGAGAAATTCTGATATTTTCTGATTCAATCGTGCCTCATATGGAATACTGCCATATGGTTTTATAAAAAACAGTTTCCATGTACTGCAATTAATGACTGTTATTTCTACTTGGAAGTGAAAGGACAGGAGACCAATTTTGAAATTTGGTATTAAAAAGAGACTGAATGTTTGCACGATGACCGAATCGCTTTCCAGGTGGGGAATATTCGCCATTTCACTACAGTTCTTTGTTCAAGGTAAAATTTTGATGGAACTTTTCAAGCTGTGCTCACCTGGCGAGCTTCAAGAAGAAAGGTAGCAGAAAGAGGCGGTCAGTGTCTTTTCGGGCAACGCGGAAGTAGTATTTTATATAGAGAGAAAAAACATTTTTCGTCCTCCCACATAAACCCTTCTGTGCAATTAAGTTGCTCAGACTCCTAACGAGTGGTTTTCTCACTACGTCTGTTACATCCTAAATTTTGCTCTAAACTTTAGCAATAAGCATCCAAAACATTCAGCATTACGGCTAATCTAGATTATTTTTTAGGAAGCCATTTTAAATTAGTTACCCGTTTCAAATGTTATGAACACCTTCTGTTGTCAACCCTTTTCTGATGGTCCTTATTCTTCTCCCCATACCATGATTGCATTAACCAATGACAACGCCCACCATTTTACACTGAAAGGCCTTCGTACTTGGTTTGACATCGAACTTCTCAAAATACTTATCTGTCTTTGTTGATGTCGTTGCATATGCACACGCATTCCCCTTTTGTTCATTATATATTTACCGTCAGCACAGTAGGCGACTGAATGTGTTGTAACAGAACATGTATGTCTAAAGTGGACTCAGATTGATGTGGACTTGCCTTAATGCATCAATGGGGCGTGTTTATTGATAATCATTACCCAATGCAAAGGGGTATTTAGTTCAACATTTTGGCATGTCTCCAATAAAGTCGAATTAATTATCTTTATGAAATGACAGGGGTCAAATTATGCTGTTTTCTAAATAAAAAGCGGTTCATTCCAAAGACTCCAGTTTGTTCGAGGATCCATAAATTTTAGACGTCTCAAACGAAAGGACAAAATGCGTATGAAATATTTACTAAAAAACTGACCGTGTATCAAACTGGTAACTGTATGAATCAAGTGACATTTACTACATAATTCAATGTCCATACTCTAATTGAAATTTGATTCGTTGGACCCTTTCACCAGAGGCATTTACCGGAGAGGATGACCCGGCTCCATGGGTAAAACAACTGTTGTAGCAATATTTCCTTCTGATCTGCAGCGATTATTCAACCATTTAGAATGCTACTTTATCTAAGCAGATAAACGTGTCGGGATATCGTCAAGGGACTTACACCCAAGTTGCAAATACGAAGACGAAAACAAACTGTACTTGCAATCATAATGTCTTATGTACTGATGAATGTGACCTTTCGCAGCGAATGTCACGTCGCTGATCTGACTTGATAAATTACAGTTATTTTCAAGCTAAATACTGGTGTTGCAGACCGAGGGGGAATGATGATTGCCTTGTAGGTTAACTTCGTCTGCTATTTTCTACTGATGTCTTATTTGCCCCCAAATGCGCACACGTGGGAAAAATAGCAACTGTGCGTATACATGTTTGTTGGAGATCAAAATACGCCGTTTAGATAACATCCCACCTTGGAGTTCTAGATCAGTACCTAAGGCTTCTTTGGGCATGCTTTCTCAATCAGGGTTCTGTTAGTTAATTAGTTCTGCTTTAAGGATGCCAGGAACGTAGACCCTCTGAGATCCGTTTGACTGGCATCTGACAACGTTTTTCTCTAATTTCGCATGTACGAGAATTGATACCTCCAGCTCGCAGGTTCTTCGGTGCTTCCAGTTGCTCCGGCGCGACAGGAAGTTTATGATAAATTAGGCTCTGACGCTAGGTGTAGCAGGTGTTAGTGATCTCCATCGTAACCTCATATTGAGCGTCACGTGATGTAGGCGGCAACTGAGTGGTCGTGGGTGACCTCAGATTGAGCTTCCACGTCTAGTTGGTCCAGGTTTTCTATAAAGAGGAGCTGGGCCTAGAAGTAGTACTTCCAGGAATTCGATAACTGATTAACTACACCAACGGTGTTGACAGGCAATACTACTTTAGTTTGGTTATACCCGGCAGTAGCTCCGCGGCACGATTCGTTCAACATAGTTTTATAGGTCATGTGGGTTAACCTATGTGAATGCCTACCACAAGGTATACCTGGCGTTCAACTTCTGGGCAAA